GAGTGAGACTCAATTAACACCTGTTTTGGGCTGACAAGTTAGCTCAGTTGGTACATCGAAGTCAAGAGTTCTTCCTTGAAGGTGGCCCCTACCAGCCAGCCACCAAGAAAAAAAAAGAAAACACCTGTTCTACAAATTTAAAGAAAAATGACTTAAATTAACATCAAAAGATTGAGTAGTATATTGCTTTCCTATTGCTGCTGTAACAAATAATCGCAAACTTTGTGGTTTAAAATAACACAAATTTAATATCCTACAGTTGTGGAGATCAGAAGTGTTAAAAGAAAAACTTTAGACAAATGGAATTCAACAGTTTAATTAAGCAAAGAACAATTCGCAAATCAGACAGCCTCCGGGGCTGCCATGTGGTCGGATGAGATTTATGGACAGAAAAAGGAAAGTGACGGACAGAAAACAGAAGCGAGGCACAGACACAGCTGGACGGTCACAGCTGGGTACTGCCTTATTTGAACATGGTTTGAACAGCTGGGTGCCTATGATTGGCTGAGACTTGGCTACTTGTTATGAGAGTAGGTTATGCCTGTTTACGTATTAGGTTACAAGTTAGGTTACAGTTAATTATGTCCCAAGAAAACTCTAGGCCAAACTTAATTTAACAGAAGTCTAAAATGGTAAAAGCTGGAGATCAGAACTAGGCAGCCTGTCCCGGCCTCCCACGGCCAGTGGCCAACACCTCAGAGGTGAGCAGAGGCCTCTCACACACCTCCTCCTGGCTGCTCCAGCACCACTGTACCACTCTGGCTTCATGCACAGGCTGCCCTCGTGAACAGACCACAACTGAAAATGTGTATGTTTGTTTGCTTTATGGCCAAGGGCCTATTGGGTGACCTGAGCTTTTGGTGTCCCCTGAGGGAACAGTACAAAAGCTCACCCAGTCAGTGGCAGCCTGAGGCTCCAGCAGCCTGGCTCTCTGGAGATCCCTGACCCTTATGATCACAGTGAGCTCACCCAGATAATTCAAAATAATGTCCCCATCTCAAAACCCTTAACATCACATTTACAAAGTACTGTAGTCACAGGTTCTGGGAATCAGAATGCGCACATCTTTGGGGGCTGTTGTTCAACCAACCCCAGTCGAGAGTCGGGGTTAGGGTCATAGTGGGGGTAAAGGTCAGAATAAGGGTGAAGTTGAGAACAGGGTTGGGGCAGGATGAAAGTCCAGGTGTTGTTAAAGGTCACATGAGGATCAGGATCAGCGTGAGTCACTGTCAAGGTCAGCATAAGGTCATGGTGTCAGTCAGGGTCAGTGTGAGGGTGAGGGTCAGTTTTAGGGTAGAGTGAAGGTATAGTCACGTCAAGGTCAAGGTGAGAGTTGGGGTTAGGGTCAGGTCACCTTCAGAGTTAAGTGTCACGGTACAAGTTAGAGACAAGACAAGGGCTAAATTCAGTGTAAGAATCTGAGAGAGAGTGATATTGAGCTTCACAAGGGTGAGATCAAAGCAAGGATATATTTAGAGTTGTGGCGGGCAGAATAATAACCCCACA